ATCCTTGTGGCACCAGCTCCTCTTGCCAGCTTCTAAGTTTCTACTTAGCTTGTTTAGTATGTATGTTAAATATGTGCGCACACACAAATAGATCTGGGGTGATTCTGAACTGTTTTTGAGGAATCAAATAGCCACAGCATTATAAAATAATTTAGGATGGAAGGAACCTCTGGCAGCCTAGTCCAATCCCTTGCTCAAAGCTGTTCTTTTCAGATCAGGTTATTCAGTGGTGTCTGATCAAATTTTGATCATCTCCAAGGGTTGATTGAGCTCTTGCAGCTTCTTTAAGCCCTGTTCCAGTATTTGATCACACTCTTTTTCTTTCTTATTCATAATGTCAAATTGGAATTTAGGATGTTTCAGATGTTTGTTGTCTCTTGTCCTATCACCATTCACCATCTTCCTTTTATCCTCTGATCAGATGGTCACAGACAGCAGCAAGGTTTCCCCTTTGCCTCCCTTCTCAGGGCTGAAGGGACCCTGCTCTCACAGCACCCAGGTGCTCCATTGCTGTGCCCAGCCTGGTGTCATTGTGGCATCTGCTCCAGTAACACCTGCTCGTACAGGATCAAACTGGTATTTGCTGATGCATTTCTACAGAAAAGAAAGGATCAGAGGCACCTTTGTGTTACTGACAGGGTCCTGCCAGTGGGCTGTCTTGTGGCCCAGTGCAGCACAGGGGCAGAAGGCAGAGGAATGATTTTCCCTGCTCTTGCCTCAGTGCCCAGTATGGCTCATGTACAAAGCCTTGCAAGAGGGGCAGTACAAGTGTCTTTGTCCTGGCCTTGTCTCTCAGTTTGCTGAGCTCTCTGTGTCAGTCTGTGGTAGTAGAGATGTGGAAACACTGCTTTCTGGTGTCCTGGATCATGACACCATCTTAGGAGTCCATTTCGACATATGTACATATGACAGTACATGTCAGAGCAGTTGAGTGATTTGCACCTCACTTTCCTATGTGTGGTACTGTGCAGACTGAGGAGTGTAGCAACATGAAATTGGTAGGCATGTGGCAGCCTTATGGTAGGAATGTGGCAGCTGAGAAAAATCTACCTTTTTCCAGAGATGCAATGAAGCCTTTCGATCAAAAAACTTAATAGTCCTTAAGACTATTAAGACACAATAGTCCTTAAGAGCCAAGTGTGACTCTGTTGCTGTGAATACAAATGGTGAAAATTTACATATGTTACACCATTCTGTTTTCTTTTTTACTTTTACTTTTTTAAAAAAAAAAAAAAAAATTATTATTGAAATTGGCCTTTCTTATTCTCTTCTGCATGCTCTGGAATGTAAGAATGCCGCATCAATGCAACAATGACAAGTATGACTCTGAGGCACAAGAAAATTAAACATATTTATCAAAGTATTTTCATCTCTTTGAAGAAAATTGTTGTTGCTGAGTTACCATGCTACCTGAAACAAGCTTTTGGTGGATTTAAGCAAAATATTACAAGTATCACATTCCTACGTTTTCTGTTTAGCTTGTCTTCTTGGGAAATAACCATGCTTTTATGATTTTTTTAGATAATGGGTTTTTACCCTTCATTCCACTATTAGCATCAAGTTACTGTATAGAAAGAGATCTAAAGAGGAAGGTTTTTATTCAAAGCTTGTTTTCTTTTGAATATCTTAATAGCAAGTATCAAGTGTCTTGATGCTGTGCCTAAACCATCTAGCAATACCAAAGCAACAGCTGAGTTTGTTCTGAATTCAGTGCTTTGTAAGCAAATAAAAGCTGTTGTGACTGGCCTTGGTGCAATACACACAGCTGGATAAAGCACAAAGTGCTTTCAGAGACCAGCTGAGAGATATGGGGGTGTGAGGGGGCAGAAGCAGCTGTACAGACCCTTCCTTGTGCTCCCTGTGGAGAATATAAGTGTGTTGTATCAGAGATGTTTAGCTGGATGCCAGTCCAGCTGTCAAAACAGAAGCAGGGTCCCCTGGGTTCTGCAGCAGGAGTTTTGTTTCCTCTTTCAACATGATAGACTTGGCATTGCCCTCACTAGCACCACTTCTTTACCCAAGTACCGCCCAGGCACAAATAGGCGTAATATCTATTTTATTTATCAGAACAAAGGACAGGGTCAAGGTCCTGTCACTGCTAGGCTTTGCAGAGGTCAAACAGCCAAGCCCAAAGACCAACATTTTTATTAAAAATACTTCTCTGAAAGAGAACCAAACCAAAGAATTTTCTTCTGTGCTACATTACTAAGAGTGCAACTTCACTGGTGATGTTCAGGAATGGGGGCAGTAACCAGCCTTTTGTCACCTGGTTTGTGGAAACTGGAGGTGTATATGAAATCACATGGAATTATGAGAAAACTCAGGTAGAAAAATATTCTAGAGGATGGACTGCAGACATGGAAATGGAAGCCTGTGGGGCCTGAACTCCCCTGATAGTGCCTGCCCTGAGCTGAAAATACCAACTCGCTCAAGCTATCAGTGCTTGGACTTTACTAGGCAAACACAGGTACAGCTTGCCATGTTGATTTATGGTATCTGCTGTGCCAAATCCACCTTATCTATTCTTGAAATTCATATGATCCTGGGTCTCAGCTCAATAAGCTGTTCTGTACTCAGATAATTCTGCAACGAACCAGAGATGTTTTGTGCATCTGTAATACATGGAGGACTGGGAGCTGGCTCTGCTATGGTAAGACTCAAAGAATTGTTATATGGAAACAGTTTAAATAAATGTGTAAGTGCTTTGAAGGCTCCTTCTTTAAAGATGCTAGTCATAAAACCAAAAAGTTTTAAGAACTTTTCTTATGTACATGCCAAATTCCCCTGCACTGGACATGCTGTCTTCTCTCAGAAATGCCACTTGGAATTGGTTTCTGAACTGGGGCCAGTAAACTTGATGGAACATCTCTAGCATCTGAACTAGCATTTCAAATTGTATTACAAAGCTCAGATTAACTGGCTGTCTATGAACAGCTGTCAAACCAATTTCACAAATGGTGAGGTGAATAACTCCAACAAGGATGCAAAAGCTGGCATGGAAGTGGAATACAGCCACTGCCAGCCTCTCTGCGTAGTTCAGGAGCATCACCAGTTTTGTATGGTCATGGGCTGCTCACAAAGTATAGAGCTTACAACAGCCAGAGCAGACATTTTAAAGTTACAATTATGAATAAAAAGACTGATTTTGATGCCTGGTTTGGTTGGAAATGGGGAGCCTTGCATTTGTTAGTACAGCAGTAAACAAATGCAGAATGTGGGAGGAGAAGATGACTCAGAAAACAGCGGCATAGTCTGATGTTTGTATTACAACATAATAAATGGGCTGTTTTTTATGTATTTGAATGCACATAGACAGAATGCAGATGGACCTAATAAAATTATCCTAATCACTGGGATGACAGCCTCTCTGCAAGAAAGAAAAAATGATCACCTCACATGGAAAAGGAGATGTATCTTAATTTTGTAGTGTTCTTTCCACATAGAAAAGATGATATTTAAGATTCCCTTTTTAATGAAGTGCTGGACTTTTCTGTCAAATGACACTTTGCAGAACTCAAGCAATTAAATAAATGCTTTCTTTGTGAGAAGACATTTTTGGGTTGAGGGTGTTCTTCTTCTGGAAACTCAGATATAGATTAGTTGTTTGTTTTTTCACACTAAGAGAGGTGAAAAATAGAAACAGGAAGGATTAGGATTAGGAATTATCACAGTGAAGCATGGGGCTTTTATACAGCTTTCATTAATATCTTAAAGCAGAAACCTGAGTGAAAATGTGTCAGCATTTTGGAGCTAAATCAGGTTTATAAAGAAAGGAGGTATTTTTGAAATTACTTTGGAGACGATAGCAGACCTTAAATCTCAACAGGAGATCTTAACCATCTAATGCTGCAGATAGCTACACTATTTTTCCTGAGTTCTCTTTCTTTCACCTTAAAGATTAGAATTATTGTTCCTGCCCAAATTCAAATGTCTTTTAATGGATTTTAATTGCATTCCCATTTGAATCCTTTTGGGTTTTTATCCATGTGAAACAGTTAAAAAATTGATTAATAATTTTTATGTCTTATTGTTTGTATTTAATATATTTCAATGCAGTATTATTTAAGATAGTTCTTACTTCTCTAAAGGGACAGACTTAATTGAGAAGAGTGGTTGAAATTAGCATTAGCTACAGTTATGACAATGACAGTGATGATTTATGATAGCTGAACATTAAATACTTTTTGTCTTCAACTAACATTTCTTGTAGTAATATCCCCCTGAAGGAGATGCAATCAGACTTCAAACTGTTTCACTAATTCTTTCGTACAGAGTCTGGGATGCTAAAGGATTTCACCCAGTGCAGAGTGTCTGGAGTGTCTTTCAAGCTATGATGAATGTGTTGAGTTTTAATACCAATTATTCTACTTCATGGGCTCATTTGCTATATTAATATTTTACTCACTGCTATTGCTAAAACTTGTGAAAATAATAAATTGAGAGAGCATGACACCAAAGTATGCATAGCTTGACTTTATACTAGTTTCTTTTATTGTATTATAGTTTTGCTTCAAGAAAGTCTTAAAAATATATAGATTTAATTTCTCATATCTTCTAAACCTGTACCTGATGTATATTATTTTCTATTTTAGTTGTATTCACCACAAGTTATATGTGTTAAAGAAAATAAAACTGCATTATAATTTCAGCTCACAAAAGCTGGATTCAATTCAATATTGGCTCTGCTTTGAGTAAATGATCCCATAAGGTCACTTCCAGCCTGATTTATTGTACAGTTTAGAGATTTCAGTGCCATGTCAATATAGATCCCTTAAGTTCATTAATTCACATATGATGAGGATTTGCCCTTTGCCAGGGCAGCTTTAACAGTGCTTATCATATCATTAAAGATAAACATTTACTGTTTTTAATCTTATCCTTTGCTTTCAATTACAGAATGCATTGCAGAATATTGACATAACACTGGTGCTATAAAGTTCATTTATATCTTTTTCAGTTAATACTTTTTTCTCTAATTTTTTTCTCATAATTGCCTTTAGAGATCCCTGAAGACCCAGAAATTGCAGAAGAATATTATAAAGATGAGTTTGAATCCTATTCAGAAGACAGTGAAGAAGAGGAAGATGCAGAATTGTCATGGACAGTCTCTAAGACAAATCACCAGGTATATGTGACCTTTGAGAACACTGTATACACTTGATGCTCATTTTCCATGAGAAAACTGAGTTCCTTCCCAGAATTCATCCTACTGACACTGCTGATTTTTTTTTCTTTTATTAGGACTGTGTGTATGTAACAATAACATGAATTAATTGTATGTGTATTATAAGATACTGATGAGAAAGGTTTTTGCATTCTTTCAAGATTAAAGATAACACTCCCATGAATGCCATAAAGCAGATTATTGTCAGAAAATATCCTTGTAACTCCAGAACACTCAAAATGGGATCCTCTCAAATCATAGCTATGATTTAAATTAAATTAAAGCTATACTTTAAGGTATACTTCAAACATAAGATCCAAGTTCCAGCTCTAGTTCCCAGGCAAAGATAGTCACCTCTAGTTCCTGCCTATATTAGACATATTTTCTAGGACAGTGTGATGAATGATGAGCCTAAACTGCTGCAAGACTTGGTCAGCAAATCTATAGATTTTCCCACCTTACAGAAAGTATCAGTGTAGAGAAAACTTACTGTTGAAAGGCTTAAAGTAGCTTTATCAGTTAAGGCTGCCACAAGAAAGTCAGGAACTGCAGTGTGAAAGTTGAAGATTATTGGAAAAGGCACCTAATTTAAATCTGGTTAGAATGAGCTAAGATGAATCTTGTCTCCAGTGATCAAGTCTCAGTGAAATCAATAAACTTAAGTGCCTGAGGCAGTTCTGAAAATGGATCTTCTTCAGCCATTCAGGAACTATTAATTTCTCCCATGGGCCACCAGTTTCAAGCATGTTCTACAGTGGCTCTGAATGGTACTATCTGGTTCTGCCTAGGAGCAGTTACTTTATTCCGTGATCATGTGCAAAGTTTGCAGAACAGGGTGTTATGTCTTCTGCATTTCAGGGAACCAGCCAAGTAGACTTATAACCTTCACTAAATTATAAATTAATTATGGTTTTTGAAAAATTTGAACTAATAGCTTCTTTGAGATGTAGTTTTTAAGGCAAAAATAAAGTGTGAGAAATCAGAACTCTACTTCTACAACAGTAACAGGGGATTCTGAAATTGTCCCACAAGTAAAACTTGAAGTTTACTTAGAAACAGCTTCATTCAATCTAGACATGTCCTCTTAACTTTCAAATTAAACACACCGGATGTCTTAAAATTCGGGAGCAATTTGTGCAGTATTGGTCTAAAGAAATTGTTATTCAATTATAAACAGTGGTTTATCTTAGACAATACTATTTTTCAGTTTGCTGGGTTTATGCTTACCCACAGCTCATAGACATGCAAAGAAACCATTGCCCACAAAGTCTACCACAAGATACCCTTGGAAACAAAATTGCTGCTCATTTTCATCAGACTCTGAGACAATTTTTCTTTTTTAGAATGCCTTCTGAAATTTTCGTTCAACTTTCATTGATGGTATCATTAAGTGTCAATCAGTAGTGTTTTTGAACAGGCAGACTGCTGCTTAGAATTAATGAATGGCAGAAGACAGAAATAGATTTCTCAGTAATACAGAATAAATTAGGTGTTGGCATTCAGATGTGAGGTACAACCCTCAGGCTGGACTGACTAAAAATTCCATGATAAGAAGCAGCATGGTGGGCTGGAAGAGCCATCTCACTGGCACCCCATTGTCTCTGTCCAGTCCCCGTGGCCCTGAGGCTTTGCTCTACCAGCTGACAGAGCACTGATCCTTTGTGAACCGTCCTGCACAGGCTGAGTGGAATGCACCCCCGTGACCATTTGCCTTTTGGGACTTCCTCTGTAAAAGAAGATAATTATCTGTGCTTTTCTCATGTTGACCCCAGCACCTTAAGATATTCAATAAGTGTGTTTCTGGGTATTGACACAATTTCCTTTTCTATTTCTTGGGAAGTGAAAATAGGTGATTTTTGCTTTCTCAAGTGAAAAATTCTGCCTTGAATCCAAGGTGAAAGCAGACTGAACATAGCTGTACAAATCTGAACATCTGTGTCTGAAATCAACAAACAGAAAGTCAATACTGTGAGGGGAAGTAAGCAAGCATTATCAGGGAGAAAACATCTAATGCAGGTTGGATGGAATAGGCAGAGAGGTCCCTCTTTGGTTATTATAAAAGGATTTACAATTATTAACACGCACACAACACCTTCCTTTGGATATCAATGGTTATGCGAGATGAATCCCACTCAGAGGTAGGTGGGATCATGCTCAGTATTAATAATGAGCTTCAAATCCTACCAGAATAGCAAAGGTTTGCTTCTGCAGTCATTTACTTAATACCAAAACTCCTATTTCTATGATGGGATTCATACTCTTAAACTCTCTTCAAAGTATATACTCTTTCTTCAAAGATACCTTAAACCAAGCTTTTGGAGGTGTGTGCTAAAAAAGAAATTATTCCACTGCAACACAGTAAGGGCTTGTAAGGTAATTTCTGCAAATCTCTTAAATTTCCAATCCCAAGATTGCTTTACTAGTTACTTCTGTGCAGAGAGTGCAGAAATGCTGCATCTGGTGGTGCTCTCTGGTGACCCCATTATTTCAAACAAGGATTAAAAAAAATTTCCAGTGTTCATGCAGTAGCAGGGGGTCAGAAGAGTCATCTTTATGAACAGCATATTAAGGTGCAAGATGTAGAAAGGGATATGAGCTGTTTATTCAAGCTATATTAGGCTCCCATAGATGTCAAGACAGACTGAGAAGTAGCAGTCTCACATGGGTTGTAAGGCCACTTAGGAAGGTGGAGTTAGGTGCTGAAACACTGTCATTTTAGAGGTTTAGGATAGCAGCTGAGAGGGCTTTTTTTCTCCTCTTGATACCTTTCAGTACAGCCTATCTGATTTCATATACATTGGCCAGAACTGGAGTTTAATGTCCTTTATTCCTTTATTTTGGAGCAGAAATGCACATTTACAGATTTCAAGCAGAAGTTTGACAATTACTTCTCCAGACCTTTGCCTCTTCAAGCCTGTGGCTCTTTTCCCCATGTTTTTTTTTTTTCCTAGGAAGACCAGTTTCTGAATACGGGGAAATCATGAAATAGAGTGACAAAGTATTTTAAAAAATATTTTAATGTGTGATGCTTAAATGAAGTTTCATCTTGAAAAGTTAGTGGGTATTGAAGCTTCCATTGGCTTTGATTTAGCCGAGATGCTAGTGGATGCTCTTTACTGCAGTTCATCACCGTGCTCTTAGTGGTTTTTCTCAGTGACCATAGTAACAAATTTACCCTCTTCATTATGACAAAGTCTAATACTGTGGTGCAGTAGGCTCCTATTTTCAAATTCCAAATTGCTTCTGAGATTGTCAAGCCAGACAATAAGACATAAATTATCATAGCTCCAGCAGCTCTGAGTGGTCTGTGTGCTGTGACCCCAAAGATGCTCCACTGGATTCCCAACACATGTTTTGGCATGGTTTATTGCTGTTAGACGTGGAGTTGTTTGCTCTGAATCTGAAATGTGCAAGCGTTCACCCACACTGGCCCTTATGCATGGGAGTGCCTCTCTTCTGGGCATCCATCACAGTCCCTTGTCCATTCCATAGGGCTTTGCTTTCTCTGAAAAAAAATAAATAAAAAAATAAAAAGATTAAAGAAATATATTAAATGAAACAGCTATATCCTCTTCCAGTGCTAAACCCAAGTGGGGAAAAGACAGGAGTGATGAAAGAGGTGAAAATATATCTTTTGCCTTACTGCATAATAAGAAAACAGCTTTGTTGATATAATTGGAGTAAATATGATGTCCTGTTGTGAGAAGTCAAAGGTTTGGGAATTACAGGCTTTATCCCATGAATTTTTTATTTTAAAAAAGGTTTTATTAAAGCAATAGTGTTGTATATGGTTATTTACTATGTTTTGTCTGTCTGTAGATTTGTGGTTAACTGTTAGTGATAGTGAAAAAAATAATTACAAAGCAATATTAGCAGAAAATCAATATAACTTTTTAGTTTTGAATGACAAAGATTTAATGACTTTTTAATGAAGTCCTAATGGTTCTTTTCTTTAGAAGTACAGAGAAATTATATCTGTAATACTAAGTCTGTCTTAATTCAATATTCAGTATGTACTGTGTATATTAACATTAAGAATGCATTCCCTAGCATTTCCTGGCTGCAGAATTGGAAACCTTTGTACTGACTTGATCCAGTCAGGACCCCACAGGCTGCTCCAAAAGGGCAAAGAGGCTCCTTTCAACCTAGGAGCTTGTGGGCTACCTGCTGCAATGGCCAGCCAAGAAGCTGATTCCTGCCTCGCAAGTCTCAGCTAAAGTAGCAGAGCCTGTTTCAGACATAAGTCCATGAAATAAATTGGGGTGAAGAAAAGTTAGTTTATGCTCATCCATAACAGTTCCCACTTGCACCAGAAGGTCTCTGACCAGCTGGAAGTCATTGCCAGCAATTATTGCTGTCCTGTTTAGGTACGCTGGCAGTTCCTATGTTGAGAAATTTAGAATGGGCATTTTAGTAAGATCACTGAAGAACACAAAGCAGATTGTAGAAGTGGAGGTCAATAGAGTTTCTTTTTATTCCATTAAGTCTTAAAGGCATAGAGTGCTGACTATTTTTCTTAATATGCATTTTTGACATATTTTTTAGCAAGGTCAAAATTTTGACTGTCAGTTTTAATAGTCAAGAAATGCTGTGTTGTTAATGTAATATGGCAGCATCTTCTGTACTTTCAGAGTCCAAATTTTTCTTGGACTTCCATAAAACTGTGATTTACTTCCTGGACAACAATCATTGCTTAATGGTCAGAACTTTAAATTTCATCTGTGTACACAAGCAGCATTTCATATGAAAGATATCATGGCAAAACTGTTAGCCATCTGTTCAGTAGCAGAAGACTTGAAATATAAAAATGTTAAAATCTCTTCTTAATTAAAATTTTTTCAATTAGTTGTTGTTACTAGACATGTAAGTAGATGCAATTACGTGAAAGATAAGTATTAATTTGCTGTGAGCAACTATCATAAGCATAAAAAATTTTAGTATAGTTAAAAAGTACATACTTGCATTTTTCAATGTAATATTGTTTTAGATATTCCAGGACTAACTGATGATAAAATGCTGATGTATTTTCAGAGACTGCACACCACCCTCCGCAGTAAATGTATATTCCATGCACAGTTGTTCTAAACACTTGTGTTCTACAAGGAATCTAACTTAAATAGTTTGGTTATAACATCATTCCAAAACCTGATGCTTTAGGAGCAGAAAACACAGAAAATATCCTGGGAAATGTAACTTCATCAAAGGCTAGTCTTGACACTTACTGGTGTGATACCCTCTATGTTTGTGGGATCGTACCCCTGGAACATAGTGTTTGTGTTTAGGTTTGTGCTCACACTAATGCTACTCCTATTTCATTTTTTCACAGGACAGTGATATGGAGGCAATGGTTGAGCACTTGGAGAGTGTCCTGAATAGCAGCTCATTGGGTAAGATGATATATCTTCTTTAGACAGCAACAGTTATTAGCAGTCTGTATGCATCACTGTCCAACTATTTCCATTTTGCAACAAAATAACTCAAAAAATGTGATCTCCTTGAAAATTACTTCCTTTATCTACTGCAGAGAAGTGTAACTGTGCCAAAAGAAATGGCATAAGTATAGTTAAGTGCTTTTGTTGAAAATAATAAAGCCATAGAGCATGATAGGCAGAATGTTATTGAAAAAACTTTTAAAAACTTGGCTACTGTTTTTTTTCTCCAGAGGAAAATATTTGAGGATGTGTAAGCTATTTTATAGTTTTTAATCCTGGTAACAATAAGAGAAAATGAATTAAAATATTTAATTTTTTAAAAAATATGATCAAGGTTTGGATAATACTTAATTTATGTAACAGTATCTCATTACAGGTACAAAGGAAACAGTGAGAATTTAAGTTTGTAATTTAATCTAAAAATCTCTGGCAAAATATTGTCTATAGATTTAGAGCTTGAAAGCCTGGGTTCTTGTGGTCTGCTTAAAAGCTAAAAAGAAAACTTATGTGAAAGAAGGCTATTTACTGTGGCTGCCACAGTCACTGTCCTCAGAGGCCACTGGGTGGGACTGTGCCAGTGTCTAGGTTTGAAAAGACAGGTGTCTGCTAAGGAAGGCAGCAACTTTTCTTGAAATGGAAAAATGTAAACCTGTCCCCCTCCCCTTTTTCTGAATTATTATAATCTTGAAATCAAGGGGCATTCAGGCAAAGATATGGGAATAGGAATAAAAGCTTTTTATTAGGAAAATTAAAATAAAAATGCAGTAGTAGAAAAACAAAACAAAACAAAACAAAAAAAAACCCAACAAAACAAAAAGAACACCGAAAAACACACCAAAAAAAAAAAACCCACAAAAAAAACCCACCCAAAACCCACTGTCAGTGTCAGAATACAACCTGACACCCTGTTGGTCAGGGTGTTGGTAGCAGTCTGATTAAATGGTGGCTGCAGTCCTCTTGGAGGGACAGGTGTAGTTCTATTAAAACAGTGATCTTTTAGAAGGGCGTAGTTTTCCTCTGAATGTCTGGTGGTGTAGATGGGTCTTGTTATCTTCTGGGAATCCAGTGGAGAAAGGCTGACTGCAGTGCTCCGAGTCTCGATTATATCCGGGTAGGAATGCTTGGCTCCTCCCCCTGTGTGGATCATTTATCTCCCAATGGGATGATATCATTTTATCAGTCATGCAGTGAGACACAATGGCCCATTAACAGCAGATATCCATCCCCCTGGAGGGAGGGTGGGTCATGGAAGAGATAAAGAACACTGCCCTACTTGGTTTTAACAGATGGTAATAGAATACCTGCTTTTGGTTACATCTTGCATTGCAACCCAAAACAGCCAGCAGCAGCCTGAGTGTGAGCTGCCTGAAAGGCCAGCTGAGTTCCTGAAGTCTCCCATGGGAACTGCAGTTTCATTTAGCTGCTTCATTTGCACTCATTCAGTTGGGATAAACCTGACTTGGTATTATCTAAAACCACAACAGAGGAGACTCCTAGGAAGTCCTCCTTCCAGAGATTCTTCCAGTACTGAGCTCTGTTTCACCCCTGCTTGTGAGCATGGACAGATGGGGAGAGCCAAAGAAGGAGGATGAAAGGGAGTAATCAAAGCTGTTGCCATCATAGTCTTGTAGCCACGGGTCACCTTTCTGGGACCCATGTCAAGAAGACCCTCAGGACTGAATGAAGGAACACTTACATCCAGTTTCTCTTCACACTTAAAGAGAACCTCCTGCCTCCAAATTCTGCACTCATTTATGCATTTGCAACATCACTGTCTGCAATGGGTTTGCAGACGTTGAAATAAGAACAAAATTTTGCTCTGTGCTTCAATATTCTGTCATTTACTTAAAGAAAGGAATTGCCTTGAAGGCTGCTGAGAACATACAAGAATATTAGCTGAAGACAAACAGTGGAGTTTTAAAACTAATCTTAGTATTAGAAACTCCCTTATCTTAATCTTTTTCATTCAGTATTAGGGACAAGAAGATGCCCTTTTAAAAATTTTAATATTAAATAATTAAATTGTACTTTTATCACTAAAAAAATCTTCAACCAGTCTGTGCTGAAACTTATAGCCTTTCTCCAAGCTAAGGTAGTAATTAGGTATGATTTTCTCCAGAGAAATATATGTGATGATAATAAGAGACAAATCTCCTTTTTTCTTTTATCCATTTTTTTTTCCTTTTATCTTTATGCCCAGTGTCATTGAGAAAGTTTAAACTTTCATTATTTTAAGTTCTTCCAAAATCAAGCTATAAACCTGCAGTTGGGGTAATTTTTTTGTTTGCTCATGTTCATTTATACCTTGCATATTCTTCACTGGGCTCTAAGTTCCCATTACATCAAATTTTTTTTGTATATGGTGCATTTTACATAGGTTAGATATCTTTTTCACCCTAAAGCTACTTTGTCCCCTTCCAGGTCTGCATTTCTTAAACTGACCACTTGCACATTGTTTTTAGCCATGGCTTTGCCCGTACCAGCCAGAGCCTCCCTCCTTGTTGTCCCATGCCTGTAGTTCTTTATACCTCATCCTTTGTTCCCACTTTTCAAGGCATCTGCTGTTGTACCAAGCCTATGCTTCTCTACATTAATTGAATTAACTTAGTTATAAATATGTCTTTCTACACAGGATACTACTATCCATCTAAAAAAATGGGTTATACTTTACAAGAATAAGTGGAAATTAAATAAAATAAAACACTACATAGTAATTAGAAGAACTACTGCTATAGCTTAAGCAATTAAATAAAAATTTCTGTCAGGACAAGACAAGATCAGACAAAGCCTGAAGCCTTGCAGACTCAGTTCCAGGTGTGTGGCCTGGTGCAAGCAGTGGCAGTACCATATGAGTGGGCTACAGACCTACAGCAGAATTACAATGGCTACTCCTGCAACAGTATGGATTTCATGACAATAATAGGGCAATAGAAGCAGGAATTTGGCCAGGACAGAACTCTTTATAGCATCTTTCATTGTTAAAGTATTACAAAATATTATGAGTAATTTCAAGCGGTTGTTAGAGAATGACCAGGAAGAAAAACTAGAACTTTTATGTCAGCAAAGGCCAAGATAAAAAGGATGCAATAAACATACATTGTTTTTCAGCGGGTGGAATTTGTTTAGAAACCTCAGTGTTCATAAAAGGACTTGGGAGGTAACTGAGTTTTCTCCTCAAGAGGTCCCAGAATCATTCCAAGTACCAGAGGTATTGTGGTTCACGATTGCTTTTGTGTTGATTACACAGGTCCATGTGAAGTTCATTTGAAATAAGATAGGCCATGCTGATAAACTGAAAAATTGGGAAGATCCCAGAAAAAAGATCCCTGCAAAAGATAAGAGAGCTTGAAAAAGCAATTTTAAATTTTACTAAATTTGCTTGGCATTAAGGAAGACAAGATTAGGGGCAGTTGGGTCACTTTTTATTGTTTATGAATCTGGAAAACACATCTGATTCTAATCCTTTATATCTTGTACAAAAAGGCATTGTAGGATCTCATATGTAGCATTGAAAGCTAAAGAAAAGAAATCTGGAATACAAACGGAAGTTTGTGATTCAGTGGAGATAACAGCTTCACAACACATCATGACTTATGAAGAGATGCAGTAGATATGTATCACCAATTCTATGGTCATTCGCAGAAATGTTTGTAGGAATGCCTTTGGACCATAATTTATGAAAACTCTTACCAGATAATGCACCTGTGAATAAATTCCTTTCTCTACAGCCCCTCAGTGAAAACCTCAAACTGGTGCTCTATCACCTGAGAGGACAAAGATCTTTTGCTCTTTGCCCTACCTTGTTTCTGCAATACTGGATTAGACACTGGGAGATATTGAAATACATTTAGAAAGTCACAATAAGTGGTCTTGAAAAGTCAGTGCTCTTGTTGTTTCATTTGGTTTTGCTTAATGGATCAAGAATGATATATTGGATAGAAAATCTAAATAATTATCTGGTAACTTTTTGAAGAAGCATAGTTCCTTTTCATGTGTACATGTGTGTACATGTGTGTTCCTTTATGTGGGTACACAAGCTGCCTGGAGCTGGGTGCAAAATATATTCTTGTTCAAGTAACTGCTTCTAAGAAAATACCTTTGATGTAGAAGTTGGTATGGTTATGAATCACCTCAGCAAAATTTGTTGAGGTGTGCTGTAGCACCAATGTATCAAGCTCTTAGCAGTCTTCACTGAGAACTCTTTTTTTTAATGATTAACCACACCTTTGCAGCATCCTACAATATTCAGGCTGTGCTGCCTTGCCGTAGCCAGAAAATCATATTAAATGGAGAAGAAGATAGAGAGTTTGCACAAAGAGATGAAGTTTTTCTTGGCCAACTGCCAATGTGTAAAATAGACAAAATATTGTTTAGCCAGAAATCCCAGGGGGAAAAAAAACAAAAGAAAAAAGCAAACAAGAAGAATGTGTTTAATAAGGAAATGTCAGAGGAGAAGGAAATTTTGTAGCAATAAATATACTGAATTCACTAAACAGAAAGAATGTGCCGAGCTCTTACTACAGTGATATATCCTGTAATAATAGTAATGCCAGAATTTATCTGGTGCCCCTGGTTAAATGTAGTCTTTCTTCAGAGACTGCAAGGTTTGTATTTTCCTTAGGCCGCTGGTGCTCAGGGCATCAATTTTTAATTGGTTTCAGAGCACCAAAGCCCTACATCTGGGCCTTAATACTGCCCCAGCTGAGAGAGGAGCATGCAGCTCAGTAAGTCACGAGCACTGCTTTGCACAGCACCTGGGGTTTCCTCAGAGCTATCCTGAGGATAGCTGAATTTTCCAATGTCACTAAAGGAATTGAATGCTTACAGACTCCATGTAAAAACATATGGATATGCATTTGCACTGTTACAGTAAATGATCAGGGAATGTTTTTTGCATTAATGGGTGAAATAACTGGTTGCCAGTAAGAACTGGGCTTGTCATTTTTTCATTTTTTAAACTACATTAATTATACCTGAGTTGTGTAAGGCAACAGAAAACTCCTAGCCATTAGGTGTAAAGATAAGCTAGAAAAATGTTTTTAAATGTGCAATTGTTTGTCCATCCTGCTAACAGAATCAAAAATCCATTTCTTCTGTGCTTCTAAGCTTCTGAATCCAGCAGACACTCACTGTGAGTGATTCAGTTGGATCACTCATGATAGAAAGTTTTAATCTCAGTATTCAAATGGATATGATCAGGGTCTAGAATCATGTAAGGCATAGGAGCTTAACTGTTGGGAGAGCCATGGTTACACATTCCAGGGAAACATTTAGTGTTCTCTGGGGGTGTCTACACCAGCTCATAGAGGGAGTGGAGCTGCAAGCTCCCTTTGGTTGCATGTGATCCCTTTAATGCAGTCCAAACTAAGCCAAATCCCAGCTGAGTCCCAGCTAAAAACCCCTGGTAGGAGGGAGTATGTGTTCATTTAGACAAGACATTGTGTTAACATGTTTGACTTTTGTCTTGTTCCTACCCTATGCAAAGCCCTCCCATGCCTGTTCAGAACTTGGGCCCTGTGTGGCACAGCCCACTCATTTACACCCTGATACATCTCCTGTTTCGGGAAGTGAAATCCTAACGCCAAACAATTTGCAAGAAGAAGCTAAAATAGCTGCTTTGTTCAGCTTAACAAACTGAAAGCTGAAATAGGATCTCTTTTTCCAATTACAAAGAAATGAAAGGAGTATGCAAAAGGGAAGGAAAGAACTACGTAAGCCAAGGGAAAGTACTGGCACAGGAGGAAAATGAGCATGAGCTGCTCGATAAAGAAATTTTATCAGGAAATAAGAAGGGAGATTTTAGCCATTAGCTCCCAGTGAGGCTTTGAAATTGTCTTTCAATGATAGCAGTCAGGGAAGAAAGTACATACATTTCTTAGGAAAACCACAGTCTTATATGATGGGATGACTACACGAAATTGCAGCATATTTGAGCTGATAACCCTGACAGTCCTCTGTGATTCAGCACTTCTGTGTTCCTGTGGAGGAGTTCCTCAGTGGTATGTGAGCCCTAAGTCCTGAAATAATGCAGCAGCTCACAAGGCCTGCAAACAGAAAGAGTGGAAATGTGTGTTTATGCATATGTTATTTCTTACACATACATATGTATTTACATATACAGTAAGTTTTTATACATATATATATATGTATTCATACATAAAAAGAGTACCTTTATCTGAAGGAGAAACTGATGTTGTAAGATAAATCCTTCCAGTTTACAGTAATGATCAAGCTCAAGGAGAGACTTTCCTGTTAGGATGAATGTTCTTGTTCTTAAAGATAAGTAAAAAAATAGTGGGAGAAAATGCATATGGTCTCAGAAAATTTTATTTTATTGGATATTTATCCATCCCAGCACTTCCTCAAGTGATTGTCCTTTCTGTTGTAATTCCTTGCGTATTATACAGAAGGAAAATTATTATTATTATTATTCTGGTGCCTTTAAGCTATAAACCTACTTGGCCCTCAGAAAGGAGTTGCCCTTAATGTACATTTAATAATTTAATTAATCTTTAATTAATGTGGCACTGCCTTGTGAGAAACAGGAATAGTCTTCCTCCTTCTGACTGCCCTTGGTTCTGCAGTAGAGCTCATGGGATGAAGGTCAATAAGCTTGTGTGTCTGTGCATTGATTTGTAGGCTCAAGGACTGTCACCGGAGTGTCTCCAGGGGTGCCCCAGGGATTCAGAGCTCTCAACAGCACAATGGCTGAGACCAAGCTGAAACACATGAGGGAGTAAGTAGCATATCTATGTGTTACCAATGTGCAGGCAAAGAATATGGATTTGAAAAACTGCAAAGCGCAGCAAATGAAACCCAAAAATACCATCAACAAAAAGAAGTGGATGGTAAGGTGTTTAGAGACTTGCTTGCTTGCCTCCAGAGAGGATGAAAGCTGACCGTCACTTCTGATTGCTTTCTTGTAAGCTGAACAATCACTGACATCCTTCCAGGATCCAGTTTGCCTTTCCTGCTGTCGGTGTCATTCTGAATTTCACTTGCTGTATTAGCACAGCCCATGCCCATAAATCACCTGCAGATGTACACATTACCATCACATTTGCTCCCTCACCCACACTTCATTCTTGCCTGGAATGAAAAGTAAGTGGGTTTGTTTCCCATGGCGATATGATGTTTTAAACTAACCAAAATTGCTGCTGTTTTCTGGGATTTTCAAATGAGAGAGAGGAATGTATATGGGCAGTTCCCTTTGAAACTCATTGTCTACTTGTTTTCAGCATTGCTGAAATCCCAGCTTTATTTATAAAGGTTTCAGCGTCTTAATAAAACAAAGTTCTGTGCTTCCTTTCTAGAATATACTGGTTAATGTACCTTGAGCCTTTATCTTGATTCACTAATTTCTGTCCTTCCAAGATTTATTGCATCCTAACTTAGGTGCTGATCTGATAATCATAGTGATGTGTATTATTTTTGAGCTCAAATATTCTTTGCAATGTTGCAAGATTCAACTGCTCTCAGAATGTAAACTCTTTAAAAAAGGGCAATTTTTTCTCTTGTGTAGGTGGACAGTGCCAATAATGTGGTGGATGTTACTGGAATACAAATAAGTTCGAACAGTAGATGCTAATAGTTATTTAAGTGAGCTCTCTGAAGAAAATGAGTAGAATTCCAACAGCATTGATAGCAATCACTGTTTAAAACAAATCACCATGTACTTCAGGAAAATACCAATCACATTTACTCCTGATAGAAGTTGTTTTGTTTTATATTATTTCAAGATGCAGCAGCTCCCAGGGTTTCACTTCACGGCTTACCCTTTATTGTGCAACCAGTCTCAGGTCTCACAGCCTTCCACTTACACTGCTTTCCATTCTCCTTTCGTGGAAACTACTAATAAAAAGAAATTAATGCAGTTTGTTGTCCCAGCTACTTACAAGGTGAGATTTTTAGTCAAAATGCCTACTTAACTTACAGATTTCATCCAGTGTTCTCATGGTTCCTGGATAAAACTTAAAACATTTGAACTTCATGATCATTGCTTTTAGGGCTGAGGTATGATTAGATCACTTCTTTCTAATTCTTTTTTTCCAGTACTGTTTCATGGTTTTCATGGTTTGTTGTGACTCACAATATTGTCTTTTCTCCAAAATATAGCATGACGTTTTTTATTTTCTAAATACATAAAGGTGAAAAAGGACTTAATTGCTTGGAATGTGAAGTGTTAAGGAACAAAGCAAGGAAAAGAGTACCCAGCATGTGTAGTCAAGGAGATCCCTGCAAACTCTGATCCATGGCCAATCTGCACACAGGACACAGTAGGGTTTTCACTGGTGAGAAGGAAGTACATTTGGTTATGAATCAATACATAAAGCCACAGCTTCTCTGCTCATCCCTCAGCAAACCTCATATGATGTGTTTGTTGAATGCTATTCACACAACAGTGCCACATAAGCAAGGCTAATGTAATTTAGACCTGTACTATTCAGTTTTAGTCAGGTAGATGCAGACTCTGGGGGGGGGGCGGCTCTTCCAGATGACAGCTTCTGAGGAAAGAGAAAATGTGGGGGATTTGTCTTACAGAAACTGAATAGCTGGAGTTCCTAAAAGGAAAGGGAAGAGCAGAGCAGGAGAGATAAAGTGGAGGTGTAGTGAAATCTGTTTGGGTGTCAAGTCACTCTAGAATGAGAACTATTAAGGTTTGGGATATGCACCATTTTCAGATGTTAGGAGCAATAGATTCTGATGAGGGAGACTCCTGTGTCATGAACTGCTCATAAAGAAAGTTTGTGCCCACACATTACAGATGACATTACCGGAAGAAAGTGTCAGTAGCTCTCATAAAATGGTAGATTAATCTAAAACAACACAAGGTCTAACAGTGAAAGCGCCTTTTAGCCATTTACAATTGATGCGTGAATAATGTTGGCTTGCAAACAACGGTAGCAAGGCAGTCACTTGACAAGATGTTATATGCTCATTGCTTGAGTTACTGCAGCATAATTCACTAAATGCCTTCTTTGACTTGCTGTGTATCAGAGCATCAATTTATGAGGTTTCTACTGTATTCTTATGCAGGACTTGACAGGGATACTCAGGTGAGAGCAAAGCTGTGCTAAAAATCTTTATGGGAATATAGAAGGAAACTGCTGAACCCCGGTAGGAGTGCTTGGTGTCTTCCTATTTTAAGTGAAAAGAAATGGCTGTTTTTTCACTACAGCCCCTAAATATTTCCCCTGACTTTTTCTTTCCAATTCACTCTCTGTTCCAGTTGATCACATGCAGCATCAATATGAATTGATGTCTTCTCAGTAAAAGTCATGATAAAATCACCAACTCCAGTGATAACAATTTCTAATTTGTTATATTTGGCATCAGAATTCATTATAGAATTTATAAGAGCAGAGATTTAACTTTAGTTTTCAAGCAGAGTTCATTGACTCCACAAAAATCTCCACTTCAGTGCTAAGCATTTCGATACTGGGATCTGTAGTGTTGATAAGAAATCTCCATTTTTTGAACTAGCTCCCACCAAGGCTACCATTATGCTCCTTCCCAGCCTTGCGTGCTAGCAGCGAGAAATCAACCAAATATAGAAATGGGAGCTGTGAGACTCTTATTCCTCATAATGGGCTTTGAAAGCAAGGAATCTTGTTAGGCACAGGAAATGGGAGGAGCCATTTCCTGGCATTTTCTGTCCTGACCACCATCTAATTCTCGTGGTGGTCCCCATCCTTGATGGTACAAGGTAACATGGTGGATGCTGAGTCTGAGAAGCATTACTGCCACATGGTATCGAGAGCCAAGTTATCTTCATGGAGAGATCCATGAAGACAAACAAATGACTGTTCCACTGAGGTTCCCCTATAGAGATTTTCCAACTATGCATCTCAGGAGAGAATCACACTGTTCTTCAGAAGCAAATCCTCATGCTAAAGCATTTTTCCCCTATCAGATTAAATTATAGTAGCACCTATTAATTTTTTTCCCCTGAGGTCCATACAAAAAGCTCAGTACAGATGGTTTTGTGCTCCTTTGTAGAGATATCCATGAATATCTACAATGAGTCATTTTAATAGCTATGAACTTTAATATGCACTTTAGAATTCAATAAAATGTATGGCAGTAAAAGGAAAAGGCTTTTATGCCCCAAATTTTAAGTAAATTAAAATCCTTTAGCCCAGCAGTGAGCACCTCTTAGTCATTCCCCAAAGTCTTATGCACAGCAGCATACCACGATCAGGCAAAAGACTTCATCATCCCCTGCTGAGTGTAAGTAAAGCAGTCTTTCAGAAGTCATGAAGAAAAGGCATTGGGTGATATTTTTATTCTGCTCCTGTGGATGCTTGTAACACTATTGGTTTAGACTCATGAGGAGTATGTATATATGCTTCTTGTGCTTTGATGCTGCCATCAAATGCATCACCTATCTTAAAAATTCAGAAATAAAGGTCATTTTGAGGTCATTCACTAGGCACTAGATGTTCTTGAGGTAAGTAGTCCTAAAATACCAGAAGTATAGAAGACTTTTTGTACATTTATTTGTGCAATTAAAAAAAAAATTAAATATTGCAGTAAAGAAAGTGTTTCCTTGATATAGTATTTCAATTTACGCAGAGTGGACCTTTCTGAGCCAACTGAAACTGGTTTTGTTATGGAGGTCATTGTGGGCAGCTTTAGTGAAGACAAAAGCCACAAATACAGAAAAGCTAATTGTTTTTTAAGATTTTGATTTAAAAACTTATCAGTGACCTTTTGATTGCTATTGACTGTCATGCTGAAGGTATCATGATGTAAACTTGCTTGAGAAATAAGATATCTTTTCACAGACAAAAGACATATTTGGTAAGGAAGTTTACTGACACTATCTGAACTACCATGTTTTTGCAGGTGAATAGAGTACTCTTGAAGGTATTGATCCTGAAATGTTTTTGAGCATTGAATTTCCTCTTACACACATAACAGCATTCTGTCCAACACTCCATTTTCAGGTAATAATTTCTGTCTGGTGATCCCAAGACATCTTACAGCATGACTATAGTTTTCTGCATCTCATGGGCTAAGCCAAAATTTTATTTACATGTCCATCTTCCTTGTCACAGTTTCTCACACCTCATTTTTAAAGGCTAGTCTCAAATGAGTGTAATGAGTTCATTATGGAAACAAATTAAGCATCTTAGTCCAAGAGTTTCTCTTTCTTTTACTGAAAATCTATTTTAAGGTAATTGCACCATTACCTTCCAGACCCAAATCTGAAGAAAGTATGTTGGGTTTGCTGTTTGCTTTACAAGCAAGTGAGATAAACTCAGTGGGAACATTGAAAGATTGAACCCTGCCTGAGTGTCACCAAGGTGGGATATTGGTTCTTGGTTTCTGTCAGGGAGACATGAGTGCTGCGTTCTGGGGCTGCAGGATCATGTCCAGGGAGGCTACCCTTACCAGTGACCAACATGGGACACCAATGAGATGGGCTTCTGCTCAGGAAACCATTTATCCAGCACAGGAACCAGCTCAGCTTAGATCCAGAGACAGAGAGCCCCAAACAGAGGCTGGGTGATGGGTTTTGTGGGACAGAGCCAGGGTGGAGTTTCAGGTCAGGGACTAATAGGAACAGAGTAAGGGAGAAACCCCAGGGGCTCAAACCCAATCAGAACACCCTGGGCTGCCACTCCATGAAGGGTCCAGCGTGGAGAAATTCCTCCTGGGCTCACAGGGCCCATCCCCCGAGGCAGAGGAATGGAATTCATTCTCTCTGAGCTTTAAAGCTATGCTTCTTAC